GACCAGAACTTCCGTTGGGGATAAAATATCGAAGGCCGATGTCAGTCACCGGACCGACAGTCTTTCCTCAAGAAGCAACAGTGTGATTAACAATCCTTCCACAAAATACAACAACCTGACTCACAAACCGTCCTCAAGATACAGTGATGTGACTAAGTCGTCCTCAAGATACAATGATTTGACTGACAAATCGTGTTCAAGATACAGTGATGTGAATAAATTGTCCTCAAGATACGATGTGACCGACAAGTTATCTTCAAGGTACAATGGTGTGACTGAAAAACCGTGTTCAAGATACAGTGATGTGACTAAATTGGCCTCAAGATACGATGTGACCGACAATTTATCTATAAGGTGCAATGATGTGACAGATAAATCGCCCTCAAGATACAGTGATGTGACTGATAAACTGTTGCCAAGATACAGCAACGCGATCCCTGAACGGTCCTCTTGCTATAGAAGGATAACCGATGCCTCATCCCAAGTGTACACCACTATGCAGAGATACAGAGATAGAACCGGCGGCAACAAAATGTTTTCAGATGAAGCTTCTAGGAGTAGCAACGTGAAGGGGTCAAGGGATCGCGGCCAGGATGCCCGTGCTTTTACATTAAAGAAATATCGCTCAACACCTGCCCTTAACCACATGTCTCAACGCGACAACAACCCCGGTAGGCCAGAACTACGCACCACCTATGACCTGCAACCTTCACATTGTATTCGCAGTCGACAGTATCATTCAATGGATAACTCATACCGGTATCCCGCGAGATCACGTGAGATAACCAATAACGCCCCTAACGCAGCCAGTGCTAGCTACGACAGCACGTCGTCTGACTCGAACTACGGTCCCTGCCCGGAAAGGGACAGCGGTGACGAATTGGAGTATGGGCATGGCTTCTTGTCTCGCAGAAGTTCGGGATACGAGAGCGACGCCACTTCAAGTAATGGAGATGACCATGCAGGTGTTCCTACGTTACGCCGAGCAGTGAGTGTGGCGTGTGTTCAAGGGAGACAACCGATTCTGAGTATTCTCCTTTCCGATCGTGTCAAGTGCAGCTGGTGCTGATATCCCTATTTTAACAATTTGTATATTGTATATATATATATATATATGAATAAATACATGTACTGAATGGTATTTGTATAATATTGTATTGTCACTATAATATGGGCCTTTACATACACGTAAAGATCCGGGTTAGAATTGATCTTCAGTAACCCATGCTTGTCGTAAGAGGCGACTAACGGGATCGGGTGGTCAGACTCGCTGACTTGGTTGACACATGTCATCGTATCCCAATTGCGTAGATCGATGCTCATGATGTTGATCACTGGATTGTCTGGTCCAGACTCGATTATTTACAGACCGTCGTCATATAGGTGGCATATTGCTGAGTGCGGCGTCAACCAACCAAACTGTACATACTACCCGTGCGCGAAAAACGCATTATGTCGTTAAATCATCATTATTAACACCCTGTGTGCATTCAAGGTCACCGATGGCGCTCTAGACGGTAAACTCATCGTCCATGGTGGGGTCAGACTTGGTGACTTGGTTTGTAGCACCCCGGCAACGTGGAATGAACTTTCTATCGATGGTTTGTCTGGACCCGCTGCACAAAGTCAATTTATAATAATAATAAATAATAGGGATATTTACCACAAGGGTGGTCGTATCCGACGTTTACATACATGTGAAATATTATTGAATGTGGCGTACAACAATGCCCCCAAATTCCTATTCCCTGATCCGATACCCGACAGTCTTTTCACTGGAACGCCGATTGCGTAACTGGGTGGCTGACCAGACAAAAATATTTTCTGTTCTATGTGTGAGTGAGTGAATTTGGTTTTACCCCGCTTTTATCAATATTCCAGCAATATCACGGCGGGGAATACCAGAAATGGGCTTCACACATTGTACCCATGTGGGGAATCGAATCCGGGCCTTCGGCGTGACGAGCCAACCCTATATTATTTATCATTTACACAGTGAGGAATTTCCTGGTTATTGTTGGTTCTGAGCACATGGAACATGTTTATTTTGCGTGTTTTCTGGCATCGGTGACCTATCTCTGAAAACCACAGTATCGTTGAAGCAGACTGAAAGTAGTCCTGGTAGAGTAGTTGAGAAATCGATTATACATTTTCAAATAAATTCAGAAAAATAATATATTGGGGGTGGAATGTAACTGATATTTTCGTGAGTGGCGTAAATTGAGAGGCCACAAGACGGCAGTATTTCGACAGGAAAACATTTGAGCGAGGTTACCCCACATTTGACCTTCATCTCTCTTTACCACACTATAGTTTCAGAACAGCGATGTCAAGCACAACACACTCTTTAGATGCTTACATACACAAGAACAAAAGTATTTCCACAATGAGCTCTGGGGGAGCCGATTTCGATTGAAGGCAATTAAACATCCGACAAATGGATCTGTTCAAGTGTTACAGAAGCAATTAGCATCTTGTTTCAAATGAGCTAGTTCCGCTGGGCGGGATCAGTTGACTAGAGACCTTTGGGAGAAGATCGAGTCAACAGTCAGGCGGCGTGGTTTGTGATCCACACAGAGCCAAGACCGTTACCCGTGCCAATACCTGTATGTAGAAAGGGGAACTTTCTTAAGGGAATGTTAACTAGTGCAGGAGTATTGAATTACGATAAAAGCAAAATATGAAATACTTGAAGGCGGAAAGCACCCACACGTGACACTGTACCACGGGTATTGTCGATGTTTCAGCTTTTATATCCTTTTGCACATCAAACGAAACCATCGATTGTTTAATTTGGTCGATCTAACCATTCACTTTGACTCATCACCGATCAAACGTGGCCATGATGATCCAGGCTGGAATTGGTCTTCGGCAGGTCATGCTTGTCGTCAGCAGTGACTAACATGAACAAATGGTCTGGTTCCATGACTTGATCGATGCTCATGATGTCAGTCACTGGATTGTCTGGTCCAGACACGACCATTTACAGACCGTTGTGAAACGGCTGGAATATTGCTGAGTTCAAACCGTCAAAAGACAATGCATCCGTGGTTATAACACTTCACCAATGACAGTTCTGACATAATGTGTGTACGTATGAAAGGGTTCGTTAGAACGAAATGGGTGTATCTTTACGTGGAACACTAGGACGCAATGTGTGCATGTTTGTAGAACATCGTTATAAGGTGATATGTGTTTTGAGCAGATCATTTAACCGTGGTATTTGTCTGTTTGAAGATGATTGTTATACGATGGTATGTGTTTGGAGCAGATCATTGTACGGTGATATTTGTCTGTTTGTAGAACATCGTTATAAGGTGGTATGTGTTGGAGCAGATCATTGTACCGTGATATCTGTCTGTTTGTAGAACATCGTTATAAGGTGGTATGTGTTGGAGCAGATCATTGTACGGTGATATTTGTCTGTTTGAAGAACATCGTTATAAGGTGGTATGTGTTGGAGCAGGTCATTGTACCGTGATATTTGTCTGTTTGTAGAACATCGTTATAAGGTGGTATGTTTGTAGAACATCGTTATAAGGTGTGTTGGAGCAGGTCATTGTACCGTGATATTTGTCTGTTTGTAGAACATCGTTATAAGGTGGTATGTGTTGGAGCAGGTCATTGTACCGTGATATTTGTCTGTTTGTAGAACATCGTTATAAGGTGGTATGTGTTGGAGCAGGTCATTGTACCGTGATATTTGTCTGTTTGTAGAACATCGTTATAAGGTGGTATGTGTTGGAGCAGGTCATTGTACCGTGATATTTGTCTGTTTGTAGAACATCGTTATAAGGTGGTATGTGTTGGAGCAGGTCATTGTACCGTGATATTTGTCTGTTTGAAGATGATCGTTCTGACAAAATGTTTGTATTTTTGATGGGAGTGAAGAAAGTCGTATCCAGACGTAATCTTGCCTCCTTAACATGAACGTCACCTGTCAACAGCGCTGACGTGTATCGTATCCAGGGACCGTTCATACCGTTCATGTATGGCTTGGGGGTGGGGGCGGATGATGATGATTTTATGGAGAAGCATGTACAAAGTGAATGACACCCCTAAAATATAGTATGACTAGAAATTATTGAGAATTTTAGGAATATGTTTAATTGGATTTCTAGTATAAACAACCTTGACCAGCTATGAAGTGCTTGGTTTCATTCAAGAGGGACAACTCCGTTAATCCTTTTTCATTAGTTTGTGAAGAGTTATCCCCCTTTGTTTACTTGTTAGCAGACGACATTTTCAGTGATCCTCAGTATGGATGATTTAGAGAAGAGGAAGTTGATTTCAGAGTATTATAACAAGGGCATCAGATCAGCTAAAGTTATTTCAAGTAGAACAGGCATCCCTTTGTCAACTGTTTATCGTGTTTTGAAAAATATTGCAATTGGATATGGCATTGAGCACCAGGGAGGCGCATGTAGGCCCAGAAAATTGACTGTCGGTGACAGGAGGCGGCTTGGTATTCTTGTTTCTAAAAACAAACGAAGGAGTTTAGAAAACTTAAGGCTGGATATGGCTGATAGAGGAACTGTGGTTGTCTGTAAGGAGACAATTAGAACTGAGCTGCATGCATTGGGTTGGCAGAAAAGTCGAGGAATTCCATCACCGATCATGAAACCTGAACAAAAGGAGCGAAGGTTGAAGACTCCAAGCAGTAACTTCGTCGTTCACAAGCACAACATTAGCAGCTTGTGACCTTGGATATTTGCCCAAGTATTCTGAATCTATTTAAAGCTGTATGTACCCGTATTCCATACTCCCTGACAGGAATCAACATCTGCCAATATTTACTCTGTCTCTAACACTACGTATGAATCTGTCACCAAGTTATTTCTCTCTGACTATTGGAGGGATGAAGTCTTGCACAACAGATCTAGACTCTCCAGGGACGACGCGTCATTTGAGTTAGTGATGTGGTTGTTCTATTATGAAGTTGGTATTTTAGCGGTGCCTACACACGCATACATACACAGTACAGTACGCTGTCAGCGAGGGAAGGTGTGGCCTTCAAGAATGGCGACGATGACAAGCCTCTGGGCAGTTCTCGTGATGTTCGTGAAGGTCGCTGATTCAGGTGAATGACATTTCCTTGCTTTAACTCAAACCATAACTTACGTTTAAAACTACCAATTGACATTAATGTCTGTGTGTAAATGGACCATGTTTCAAATATGATTGAATTAGTATTATCCTCCACGCAAGTATTATTTCAAGGACCGACCTCATGAATCAACCATTCTAAATCTGAATTTGTGCATGATTGTCACAATTTTGATACTGAACTGTTGCTTTTTTTATTTGGGTTTCGTTTCCAAGGCTTTTACCTTGGACATGAATTCAAATAAAGGCTTGGTTCGCTTCTGTCGCACATCCCATTCCATGATTATTCATCAGTATACACAGCCATGAAGCACGTTTTCTGTATGGATTTATAAAGTTTGTAATATTTCGTTGCTAAGGTAACCAATTTGTCTAAGTATGTTTTAATGCAGAAATGGCTGTTTTCCCGGAGCATTTCTCATAAACAATAACATAATGCTATTAAAACAAATAGGGAACATCCCCCTTTCGGTGATATCATTTTTGAACCAAGTTGTATCATTGTATATGGGCTCAGTAACTGGTTATTCCATTCAAAACGTGTTATGAATTTCGTGTAAACACACCAACAAGCGTTTTTCATGATGAGCACACGGAGATGGTCGGGGGAATTTACAGTGAAACGTGACAGTGTGTTAGAGTTCATTTCAATGATAAAACCAGACTGAAAGTGGTTCTGATATTTGTTTAAATTCAAGTCAACGTTATTTAACATGCGGCGTCGGTCCCGTCTTTGTCGGAGTGACATGTTGGTAGTTGGAAGAAGACAGACCATTGTGGCACGACCTCTTGATGTTTCACAGTCATTAGTTAGCCGATAACATTGACGATATCGACAGACAAATAACGCTGACAGACGTCGATCTGACGACACATGGCGTTTCGTCAGAGCGACTGTGTTGCAAAACCTCGTTCAAAATTTGACTTTTCATGGTAAATGACGTGATTGACTCTGTGACGCTTTGGTCTATCATCTAAGAAAATACTTTATGTGGTCATCTGACTTTCAAGGACAAATACAAACCCCAGTCCGGTGTCCCTGCTACAATGCTTAACTGTTCAGATAATTAAAGATATTAAATACCAATAGCTGTAACACCTTTTTATTGAACATCCCCAACTTTTTAATGGCATAGTTCAATTTCCATGATGCAGTATTCCCGCATTTTGGTCCTCCCGTGTTGAAGTACAGTCCGTTCTCTTTTTACCAAGATTTTCAGAAAGCGTCATGCGACACGTGCTCAAACGTTTGTTGTTCTGTTTATCAAGGTGGCAGAACTCAAGGCATAAGTAACATTTTCAAAAAGTTTCGGTGGTAAAACAGGTAGAAGACATTTCCAAATTTACGCTTCATTGACAATAACGACGCCGCATACAATTCACTAGTCCGACTGAAACCATATGGTTTTCAGGTGCATATTGCCAATACCTCAGACAAAACGCAGTCCGCCAGAACATACACAGAACGTAGTCAGTGACAAAGTATTCAGACAGAACGTAGTCAGACGGAGCGTAATAATCAGATAAAACGTAGTCAGATGAGAACGTAGTCAGATAGAACGTAGTCACACAGAAGGTAATCAGATAGAACGTAGTCAGATAGAACGTAGTCACACAGAACGTAGTCAGATAGAACGTAGTCACACAGAACGTAATCAGATAGAACGTAGTCAGATAGAACGTAGTCAGACAGAAAGTAGTCAGATGGAGATAGTCAAATAGAAAGTAGTCAGATGGAACGTAATAGAACGTAGTCAGACAGAACGTAGTCAGACAGAAAGTAGTCAGATGGAACATAGTCAAATAGAAATTAGTCAGATAGAACGTAATAGAACGTAGTCAGATAGAACGTAGTCAGACAGAAAGTAGTCAGATGGAACATAGTCAGACAGAAAGTAGTCAGATGGAACGTAGTCAGATAGAACATAGTCAGATAGAACGTAGTCAGATGGAACGTAATAGAACGTAGTCAGATAGAACGTAGTCAGATAGAACGTACCACATAGTCAGACAGAAAGTAGTCAGATGGAACATAGTCAGATAGAACGTAGTCAGATGGAACGTAATAGAACGTAGTCAGATAGAACGTAGTCAGACAGAAAGTAGTCAGATGGAACATAGTCAGAGAGAACGTAGTCAGATGGAACGTAATAGAACGTAGTCAGAACATAGTCAGATAGAACGTAGTCAGATGGAACGTAATAGAACGTAGTCAGATAGAACGTAGTCAGACAGAAAGTAGTCAGATGGAACATAGTCAGAGAGAACGTAGTCAGATGGAACGTAATAGAACGTAGTCAGAACATAGTCAGATAGAACGTAGTCAGATGGAACGTAATAGAACGTAGTCAGAACAGTCAGATAGAACGTAGTTAGATGGAACGTAATAGAACGTAGTCAGATAGAACGTAGTCAGATGGAACATAGTCAGAGAGAACGTAGTCAGACAGAACGTAGTCAGATAGAACGTAGTCAGACAGAACATAGTCCTATAGAACGTAATAGAACGTAGTCAGACAGAACGTAGTCAGATGGAACGTAATAGAACGTAGTCAGACAGAACGTAGTCAGATGGAACGTAATAGAATGTAGTTAGACGGAACGTAGTAAAATAGAACGTAGTCAGATGGAACGTAATAGAACGTAGTCAGACAGAACGTAGTCAGATGGAACATAGATAGAACGTAGTCAGATGGAACGTAATAGAACGTAGTCAGACACTTAATCACTCCCGAAACAGTGTTTAACATTTTCATTATTATTGAGGATAAATAATATTCGTGAATGGAATTGGTTATATTATATCTCGTGGACACTGACATAACAACGGGCACACTGTCTCTCTGTAACGTACTACCCGTAAATATAGGGTTATAATTGGTCTTCAGCAACCAACCCCAGCTCGTTGTCAGAGACGACCAAAGGGACTGGTGATCGGGCTTGGTGGTTAGGTTGATGAATGTCAACGTATCCAAACTACGTACATCGATGTTCATGAAGTTAAGACCGTCGCCATAGAGATTGAACATTGCTTTATATACGAGGCACAAAAAATAAAGGAACCCCTTCACTTCTTGAAGCATGTATAATTTAATCAGCACAACCGTACGGTAAGTATGTCAGATATACTTAATAATGAGTGTGTCCACCATGAGCAGCATACATGCACGACACCTTGCAGCCATGCTGGACACCAACCGCTGAATTGTCGCCCTTGGAATCACGTGTCACTCTTGCTGCAGTGCTCTATCTAACGCATCAAGACGTGCTGGTGCAGGCTCCCTGAGACGCACACGCCCTAACACATCCAACAGATGTTTGATAGGGGATAGATCTGGTGTTTTAGCCGGCCAGGGTAAAGTTGTAACACCTTGTTGCTGCAGCACGAGCTCTGTGAGGAGGTGGATTATCGTCCTGAAGCACAAAATTTCGACCTGCCCTGTGAGCCATTGGAACCACGTGTGGCCGTAAGATCTCGTCCGTATACCGCTGGCCTGTCAAATTACCCCGTACAAGAAACAAATCAGTCCTCCTATTGAAAGAAATTCCTCCCCAGACCACGATAGGGCCGCCTCCATAAGAATCGTGTTCCTGTACCGTGGGTCTCCCATAACGATCTCATCGGAGTCGCCACACACGCAATCTTCCATCCGTAAATTGCAAACAAAAACGGGATTCATCACTAAACATCACATGTCGCCATTGCCGGTTTCCCCTCCTCTGACGTTGCTGAGCCCACTGATAACGAAGACGTCTGTGGTTAGCTGTCATCGTCACGCCTTTGAATGGACGTCTTGACTTAAGATCTCTGCTACGGAGCCTGTTTCGTACAGTAGAGTTCGAAATCCGTGTTCCTGTGGTTCTGAAGAATTCCATCTTCAAATCCGGGTCTGTGACAAATCGATTCTTCAGAGCTATAGGTCTCAGGATGTTGCCTTGTCTGGGGATGGTTTTAGGGCGTCTTCCTCGACCGCCCCCTGTCTGACGTTAAAGGTTGATGAGACGGGAAATGACGCTTTTGGAATTCCTGAAGAACAGGGCAACACTATTCTGAGATTGTCCACCCTCTATCATGCCAATGACCTTCTATTTCTGTGCGTTTGTCAGATACTGCCGAGGTGGCATTTTCACAAGAGATAGAGGGACACGCTTACTGTCAGTTTTATAGGCTAGAATGCACGTGTGGTGCATGATGCACGTGTATCATGTAAAGGTAATATGGTGCTGACGGGCGGTGGGGTAGCCTAATGGTTAAAGCGTTGGCTCGTCACGCCGAAGACCCGGGTTCGAATCCCCACATGGGCACAATGTGTGAAGCCCATTTCTGGTGTCCCCCGCCGTGATGTTGCTGGAATATTGCTAAAAGCGGCGTAAAACCAAACTCAGTCAGTCAGTGGTGCTGACTGTCGTATCAGCCGTAAGTGATTTCCGATCTGGGTTCGAATGCAATCAGCTTGCAGCTTTTATGTAGCATTGTTTCAACTATAAATTCCACTTGGGGGTTCCCTTATTTCTTGTGCCGAGTATATATCCACAAGGTGTTTCTGTAATTAACAAATGATTAAATTACTGGTGTGACGCATATGGTAAAAGTGTGGAATCACAAGCTGGTTTCCGACTCAATTACCCTACCATAGACAACGTATTTGTTCTTAAGTAGGCTATCCAAAGATATGTTGGCAAGCATCAACTTCAGATATATGGCTTATTCGTTGACTTTGCTCAAGCCTTTGACAGAGTTCGACATGTGAAATTATGGTCAGTGCTAAAGAAAACACCTCCTAAAATGGTTAGCTGCATACAATCTATTTATACAGCGGTGAAGGCTAGCGTTAGATATAATCATATGCTCTCAGAAATGTTTCCCCCTCCACGTGGAGTCAGCCCGGGATGCATGCTTAGCCCCTCTGTTGTTCTCGTTTTTCATTTATGAGTTGGCTATTGAGATTGAACAGAACTCTGGTCCAAGTACAACTTCACCCAGATGTCACACAACTTCTATTATTTACAGGCGGCATTATCCTTATCACAGATATGAATACACAATGCCATTTTAGAAAGTGGTCTAATGTAATATATGCTATAGTTGGGATTACACTTTCTCAGTAAAGTACAGATTCTAGTACTTTTGTTGGGTTGAGTCCCATACGGGATTCGAACCCACTCGCTCAGAGTCAGGCACCTAATCGCCAGCACACAAAGTCGCAGTGACTGAGAATATATATAACATATAACATATGTTATCTCAGATAGTTTTGGAGGTCTACAGCAGCGTATCCACGTGTTTTATAGGTTCTGTCTGTATTGAGTATGGATTAGATATTAATTTAGATACAGCTAGGTTGATGGCCCTAAGAAAAGTGGAACTTTAAATTGAGGGGGTCTTATAAAGGTTTGAAATTAGACTGTTTTTTCATTATTATTTAGGTGTCACTTTTACTAGAAGTTTATCTTGGTCTGGACACTCTTTCTAAGGCTGCATGACAAGGGAAAAGACTTTGTTTTCTATCCTAAGATCCGTGGCAAAGATCAGTTGTTTAGGGTTTGACGTATTTTGAAAATGATGATATGGAAAGAGCTTCCGTGCTGGCTTGCAAGTGTTTTCTTGGAGTTAAGTCTTCCGCACCCCATACCAAATGCTGATGATGCCGGGCTTATTCGTAAATCGGAGATAAAGTATAGGAAAAATATTGCTGCGTTTACTTTAAGGTGCAAAGACAATTTCCTCTCTCTTAACATAAACAAAACAAATAAAATGATAACTGACTTCCGAAGCAAAAAGAAAAAAATGGAACCTGTTTGTATTTTTGGACAGGAAGTAGAAACAGTAGAAGAGTATAAATATCTGGACACTATCATTAATAATAACCTTTCTTGGAAATACAATTCACATCGTGTACATAGAAAAAGCACAACAGAGGCTTTTCTTTCCTCGAAAATTGCGATCTTTTAACGAAGACAGTACTACAAAATGTATCTTAAAATTATTCTACCAACCATTCATCAATAGTATTGTAACTTTCTTCTTTCATGCATGGTATGACAATCTTCCTCTTACACAGAAAAACAAACATGACAAAATTGTAAACATATCCAGCAAACTTTGCGGCTTCTCTGTCGAACCTCTTCCTTTTCAGTATGAGTCAAGAGTTAAAAAGAAAGCTCTGGCCATTCAATCGGATCCATCACACTTTTAAAATGAATGAATTTCTGCCATCTGGCCGCCGTTTCAAAATCATATGTTGCAAAACTAATATAATATAAGTCATTTGTCCCATACAGCGTAAAACTTCTAAATCTTCCTCCAAACTTGTAATAGTGAAATCAAAGATGTGGCACGAGTTTATTATTTTTTGTTATTTGATTATGATTCATCATTATATTTTGATTAGCTTGACATTGTGTATATATATACTTTAAATTATTTGTTGTTATATGCTTGTATTGGCTCTTTGAAAGCAAGACAGATTTTCCAATAAAGTTTATCTTATCTTATCTTAATATTGCTCCTGGTGAATGTGGCCGCTTTCCTTTGTATAATTATGCAAATAAAAGAGTTATAAGTTACTGGTTAAAATTAATATGTATGTCAGACAATCGCTACCCAAAGAAGTCTTATAATATGTTAATGCAGGCAGCTAGTTTTGGTAAATCTAAATTTATTCACGAACAAGACTGGCATAGTTCACTTACATAAAGGTGACAAAACCATATCCTACTCCGTTTCTGAAGTCTCCTTTAGTACAGAGCTGTACCATAGTTATGTAGCTATAAGAAACAAAATACGGTTGCCCAGTTGTGATGTTTCTCACATCAGTTAAACATTGATTGAGTGACTGACTGTGTTGTGTATGTCACAAAGGATTTGTAGAAGACGAGTATCACTTCCTGTTATAGTCAGTTACGTGAAAATTAAATACCCACAAAGTATTACTTATATCCTTCTAAATCTCTTCTTATTTCAACCAAAGATTGTACCCTAATTAAGAATCTAGCAAGTGTATTTACCATGCAATGTCAATACTAGAACACTAACATGAATGTCAACATTTGATCGAATTCTAACACCTGTATATGACATGTAGGTACACGTGTGTAGTTTTGGGCCGATGGCCGACACTAACAGAATGAAGATAGAAGCATGAAGCATCAGTATGTTTGTCATTGGAGGGCAAACTGCCGGATGAAAGACAGTATACACCTATGTGTGATGATGGAAACCAAGCATAATAGAAACCGTCATGATGGCCATGTATTTGTGCATCATAGCCGATATAACACGCACCGTATCACTGAGTATCTCGCAACATGGTAGCCTTGTTGTTTTCACAACGTTTGTAATGGTTTGGTCAAAGGCTGTTTTCAAGCATATATATTTTCCTTTCCCCAGAAGTTTAGTCAGTCGTGTTCATTATGTGGGTTTTGTCATTCTTTTGTAAAATATCGTTTGTATGCTGAAGACTGACTGACTGACTGACTGAGTTTGGTTTTACGCCGCTTTTAGCAATATTCCAGCAACATCACGGCGGGGGACACCAGAAATGGGCTTCACACATTGTGCCCATGTGGGGATTCGAACCCGGGTCTTCGGCGTGACGAGCCAACGCTTTAACCATTAGGCTACCCCACCGCCCCGTATGCTGAAGACAACCACTGAGCTGCAACCCCTGAGTTTTTAATGCATATTCCGTTAAAAAACTCGAAGTCTTCAGGGAAATTAATGTTAATTGATTGACTAGGACCAGTGTTTGCCTTCATGGATCATGCAGTTTCACTTGAGGAGGCGTATTCGGAACTCTTTATGTATGTACGCCAACTGTATGGATGAATGATGCACGGGGTTGGTGATGATGACGATAACTATTACGCAAACCATGGCCAGCTTAGTGCAATGAACCCCTTGGTGATTCCAGAACAGAATGGCTCCATTGTTGTACGATGTTGTACACAGCTTGTTCTTGTTGTACGATATCACTAAATACGGCAATGGCGACACAGGGCTTCGGTTGTTTCCATGACGTACAAGTCCATAAAACCATCTCCTTTGATAAACGGATGTGTATGAGTTATGAAGTTCAATTGAAAGTGGAACTTCAGAGGTATTCCTTTAAAAGCACCGTTGGCTCTAAAAAGTACTTGGCCCACCTATGACGTAACTTGATAACTTCCTCTTCACCTTGTAATTCCACTACAGTATATAAAAATTTAAATATACTTGTATACCAATTGATCGATAACTAATTTGCAAGTTAATTTGTAGGTTTAACAGAGAAGTGCGTCTCATCAATGCATTAACTTAATGGAGTGGGGTGGGATGCGGTGGGTTGTAATGCGCTTGTCATTAAGGTGAAAATGGCCATTGTGAAGTTAATAGTTACAAACTAGATTGATGAAACCATGTTCCTAAAATATAAAATATGTCCAAAACAATAACAAAACCACCTGGCCACAACACGGCGAGGTAGTCGGGCTGTAACCTAAAACGTGTCATGGAGTTCCCTTGCTTAAGCAGCTGGAACATTCGGGATCGGGTGGTCAGGCTCGCTGACTTGGTTGACACATGTCATCGTATCCCAATTGCGCAGATCGATGCTCATGCTGTTGAACTCTGGACTGTTTGGTCCAGACTCGATTATTTCCAGACCGCCGCCATATAGCTGGAATAATGCTGAGTGCAGCGTAAAACCAGAGACCATATGGTCTCTGGTAAAACTAAACACTATCACTCACTCACTCACTGGTGTTTCTTTACATCTAGCTATGTCCACCTCGACACGTGTAGAGCACTTCTTCTTAGACACATTCGGCCTCGGCATCATGGGGTTCTGGTCAGTCAAGTTTGAAGTGAGGGGCACTAAAAACGTACAGTTCGGCCTGTTTGGGCCGACCAGGTCAACATCCAATGGATACGCCATCACTCTGAACAATGAGACGGGTGGAGATTATTTCTCAGCAGTCCGAAAAATATGCAGTTCTTGCCCCGGGACGCCGAATGTTGAGATGAACCAGGGCGGTTCGTTCTTGGACCCGGAATATCACCCTTTCTGGATCAGCTGGGACCAGGCTACGATCAAGATGGGCAAAGGGGTGGTCGTCGGGGAGGAGATCGTCGTCAGTTGGACGGACCCAAATATCATTGAGGTCAACTACTTCACTATCGGGGCATCAGACGCAGCAACGTCCGTGTTTGTGCGCTATGGTGAGTTCTGTCGGTTGAATAATTCATGAAATATATGTATACCAGTCTGGCTATAGTTCTGTTCCAGGGTCGCGTCATACCACAAGAGACTGTCATGCCTCGCTGTTAACATTTGGGGATAGACAAGGACAATGAAGTCGGAAATACTGTGTCTGAGTAGACCTCGACAGAGTCATAGTGATTCAGAAGGCCAGCACCATAGATCCGGCGTAGGCTTGGAGTAGGACACGCTTTAGTACAAACACCTACACGCACGCACGCACACAGACACACACGCTCACATATATAGTGACAAACGCGCGGAGTGCAGGTCATCGTGCAAGGATCGTTCATCCCATTTTTGCCTGACCCGACGAGCCTTTGTTCTTCCAAGAAAAAACACCGAGCAACAATGTCCACAGTCTATACACATTTTTCATGGAATAAGGGATAGACTTATTTGATAAGAAACTAGAAATATACTAAGCAGCAAACGAAACGTCAGTTTGGAATTTTCCTTCCCAGAAACGGATAACTGTAAACTTATTTAATGTTTTGATGGTATATTTTTGACAACATCTCCAACTTTACCTGAGCAAAGACATTCCTTCCGAAACTCAGAATAGAACCAGGAAATGGTCTCAAAAGCGCAACCTGATCTCGGAGATGGTACGGTGTTGTCCATGTTTTTCATGCAACTCATGCTGCACGTTCTATTCACAAGGACCAGCCCTATAAAATGCATCCCCAAACCTGGTTGAAACATTCACATTACAACGTCAGCAGGATGCCGCGACTCACGACAGCTGAGAGGAACCAGGCGCTAGGAAGACTTGAAGCTGGCCACACTGCACAAGCCGTTGCCAATCACTTCCAGGTCAACGTTCGGACCATCTACAGGCTGCAGCAACGTTTCCGGGCCACCAACACCACAAATGATCGTCCCCGTACTGGCAGACCAAGGGTGACCACAAGACGACAAGACCGCCATGTTGTGTGATAACATGTACAGAATCCGTTCATGCAGGCATCCGAAACAGCACGCCAGACAGTGGGAACACACGGAACGTCTACAGCTTGCTCAACAACACCAAAACTGGCGATACAGGCAATGGAGAACTGTTCTGTTCACAGATGAGAGTCGGTACTGCGTATATACTGAGAATATGGCGACGACGTGGCCAGCGTTACTCAGACCAATGTGTTATGGAAAGAGACTCATGGGGAGGTGCAAGCATCATGGTATGGGGTGGAATAGGCCTGAACCAGAGAGTGGGTCCTGTGGTGTTCCAGAAGCTTGGTCCAGGGAGAGGAGGCGGCATCACAGCGGTGCGCTACATCGCCCAAGCTCTCAGACCCCACGTCATACCACATTTCGCACGTCACCGGAACAACATTTTCCAGCATGATAACGCCCGGACCCATACTGCCAGAGCTACACGGGACTTTCTACAGCAGAACGGTGTCAACATTATGCAGTGGCCAGCCTTTAGTCCTGATTTAAACCCAATTGAACATCTTTGGGATGAAATTCAGAGGAGACTGAATAATGTCATACCAAGGCCGAACACAGCCGAATTATTGCGCCAGGCCTTTCTCAGAGTGTGGTTCCAGGTGCCAATGGCCCTCATCAATCGATTGGTGCACTCCATGCATAGACGCTGTGCTGCAGTTATTGCCGCTCGTGGTGGTCACACTAGATACTGAAGTCAAGAGTCTGAATGGACTGCAAACTTTCACGTAATGTCTTGAAATTGTGCTGAATTATTCATTGATGTGTCAAGATATTGTACCTAAAAAGTGTTTTTGATCCGCTTATTATGTCCATTCCAGTAATGATTTGATTACAGTGCCTATCTAATTTTGAATTCGTACTGATGATTGTTTTGCTGCTGAGTATAGTATACAATTATAACACCGTTTACGTTAATGTTGGACTACTGCTGGACACAAAGGGTAAAACTACTTCTTGCTTGGTGTGTTAAAGCCATGATAATGGCAGCATGACACATCGTCCAATTGACAGTGGCCTTACTAACAGGTCGTGTTCATGTAACGAAACATGTCTGGTTCAGACTCGATTATTTCCCTATAGCTGCAATATTGCTGAGTGTGGCGTAAAACTAACCTCACTCACTCAGTGTAACAAACCAATGGAGTAGGAAGAAGCGTAACAATCACCCCATTCACTCACCACCTTCAATAATATTCTTTTCAGAAAAGACGTGTGCTGCTCTGAATCGCCCAGCGTTGTTCCCAGCATGCAACAAGTTCTTCTTTCAACTGTCTAATGCAGGGAAGAAGATCTGGTACTCGACAGATATCATCTCCGAGGCAGCTGGGATGACTAAGACTGATTGTATCTACAAATGTCTTGTCACCACTAACTGCATCGGGTTCACTCTCTCCACCACGGGCACCTGTAAACTGACCAACAAATGTGCGCCAACAATTGGGGCGAACGCAAATACAAATTTCTACCAACTCAAGTCCTTTAGTACTCCGTGAGAATTTGTTCATTATGAAAGATCAGTACTGAATACATCCAGTAACCATTTTCACTCTTCTTGAAGACAAGAAATCTCACTATCAAAAGTTAACTAAATAAAACGAGACAAAACAATTTCCGTGACCAGATTTAATCAAATTTGCTTCATATGTATGACAAAATAAATAAATAACAGCCACAAAGTCCATGTACATTAACACAAGAAATGCCTTTACAGTCGAACCCACTAAATGATTAGGACCATGCCATAATTATGTGTTTATGGATTTCTATGAAATATTACTTAAAGCCATTAAAAATGCAATTTGACATTCATACTTTCTTTACTCACACTAATCTCAACATATATAAACCTAACTGGCAGATATGTTTTAAGTAAACATCTGTGAATAATTTCATCTGAAAATGTCCAGTCAACAACAACATCAGTGACGCAACAACGACATCACACAAAGGAGGGGGTCACTTGCAGTCAATATCGTGTGTGTCCACCGTCCGCTGCACGACATGCTCGCAGTCTTTGGGGCATTGAAAGACACACATTTCTCAGGAACAGCTGTTGGATGGTCTGCAGCCTCTGATGGTCGCTGGTCTGATCATGACACCACCCCATCCAAAACGATCATGTTCAAGGACACAGTTTGGCGCAAGTCTTTCTCCTTTACGTCGATAAATCTGTTGACGTCCATCTGCAAAGGATAAGTAAAACCTGGATTCATCTGGAAAAAGGACATCTGGCCATGTCCTGTTTCCAAGATTGGCCCCATTTGCTGCCCATCGCTGTCTGGCAAGTCTGTGGCGATGCAATAAGGTTGGACCACGGTACGGGTGACGACACCGGATGTTGAAGGCAGCAAGGCGTCCTTGCACCTTTTTGGGCGCTGAAATGACGTTGACTTGTCCCCATTGTCCTCCTTGCCTAATCATCAGCTGTTTGGAACCGATTTCGCAAGTGTGAAACTCGGATATTGCGGTTTTGTCGAGCTGTTATCACAGGTGGTGCACCAGGTCGCGGACGATCAGCAACACTTCCGGTAGCCCAAACACGTTGTCTGAGTCGACTTACAGTGGATGGATGCACATTAAAGTGCCTGACAATCATCACACCTGAAGCACCTTGGCTGACCATACCGATAACCTGACTCCTTTCGTCTTGTGTCAAGTGTGGCATTTTCACAAAGTGATTGAGTTCCACAATTCCTTGTGCTTTTACAGGGCCTGGGTGCAGGTAATGCATGTGCACAACGTGTTTCATGAATGTGGTTGTGTTTACGAGTAATGTCAAAGGTTCAGGTTTAAGTATCAAAGTTCATGTGAGAGGAATGCTCCGGGACTCGAACTCGAAATGGGCCAGAATAACAGCCTTTTATCCCTACATCTTCTGTATCGCAGGAAAAAAATTCAATAGAACTTTTGTAAGTTTCAGGACAACAAATACAAATTGCGTTTTTAATGGCATTCAGTATAGTAATGATGCAAAAGGTTGCAAATATTAACTAATTTTGAAAGAACCAGTTTTAAAAACAATAATCTTGCCAATCAGTCTTTTCCTCCAGGTCGCCAGTAATCTATTAATTTCTTCCAGTCTTCTCCTTGTGTTAACAATCCATAAATCATTCAAACCAGGAGTAAATTTAATTCCTACCACTTGAAATTGATTTCTTTGTCATTCTATATTCAAATCTTGACAAAGTATATCTCTGCTACCTGCTTTGGAGCTAATCCAGAGTGCCCTAGTCTTATCTATGTTTGTCTTTAGCCCTGACATATTGTAAAAGTATTTCGTGTGTCTGCAGCAGCATACAAGATTTCATCTGAGCCATCCAAAATAATTCAGTATCATCCACATATTGACCTAACTTGTATTCCTGATCATCAGTTACAGTACCCCTTATGTTAGTTTGTCTCATCATACATCCTAGGATTTCAGCAACAAACAGAAATACATATGGAGATATGGGATCCCCTTGCCTACAGCCCTGTTGATTTGTTAAGAATTGAGAGAGATGTTCATTCTGAACAACACATGAAGATGTGCCATAAGTTAAGGCATTAATCTAACGTATAATCTGTGGACCAAAACCAAATTTTACTGGGACAGAATTGATAAAATCTTTGGAAACTGTGTCAAATGCTTTTTCGAAATCACACAATAACCTTGAATTTTCACTTAATGTTCTGCCAGATATCAATCCAGTCTGGTTATTATGTATCAGGGATTCAAAGGTAGTTTTAACAGATTTGCGATACAAGCATTTAATAAGGTCCCATTTTTATTAGCCTTTGGTATATAAGTGATAACTCCTCTCTTCATGGTAAGGGACATATTATTTCTTCTTGAAACATCTTTGAAAAATATAAAAATCCAAACCTTAAGTTCTTTCCAGAAGAATTTAAAGAAATCAATTTGAAATCCATCTATTCCAGGGCTTTTGTTATTTTTCATGCTTTTACTGCCAATCATATCTCATTCATGTCTATTTCCTTTTCCAATTTTGTCTCTCAGCTGGTGACTCAAGGTTGGAGTTATCACATTTTCTAAATGGGCAGCGTTCTCATAATTCTTAGAAGAAGAATAATGATGCAAAAAGTTGGCTAGCCTCTCCTGCCCCACCGGTGGCACCAATCACAGACACTAGCAAAGCCATGTCAAATGTGTTCACCCGAACAAACTTAGGAACATTTGCACCAGTAAAACCAGTAAAATCATTTTGGTATCAATTTGTATCACATCAAATTTGTCGCGTACAAGAGTAACCTGGTCTAAGCAAAGATAGCACGTGATTATAGAAGATTTGTCTGAATGTTTTAACAAACAATTAGTAATAATTGTAATGAATCGTTTCACACATGCCTTTCTTCCATTATCGAATTCATACTGGAGATTAATTTATTTATTTGTTTTTAAAAGACAGTTCGACACTATGCATGTTCAAACACATCTCATACTGTACTTCTTTCATTGCTATGGAATCCCAGAAGGGACATTTTCGCGTTGTCTCATTGTCGCATGTTGCGTTTTAGTCAATTTTTAGGTTTTTTTTAAACATCTTAGATAGGGTGACCATGCGACAACGCGACATATTTTGACCTTGAAAATTGTCCCTATGTCGCATTGTCGCCCTTTGAGGAATAGAAAAATATTATTCAAAACGCCACATGCGACATCGAGACACTGCGACAAATGGCCGAAATGTCGCGTTGTCGCATTGTCGCGCTTTGGTTAATTTTGCCTCATTTTGCTTGTATCTGAGAGGGCGACAACGCGACAATGCGACAACGCGACAATGTTCATTCCAGGATTCCATACATTGCAGTTTCTGCATCTTCATAACTTTTTGCATTTGTGTGTGTCACGTAAAGGTCAATATTTTACAACCGTTAGTGCACTGGCAAATGCAATGAAAAATATCTCTCGACATTGGAACAGCAACAGTTTTCCTTATATCCTTTGAGGTGAAATGGGGTTTTACGTCGCACTTAATAATATTTCGCTCATGTGACAACGTGCACACGTGTGTATGTGTGGCTGCTTGTACTAGCCCAGACTGAAGCTGGTTTTATAGTGCTAGCCCACTGAGATACCATGCCACAGTTAAGAATGAATACCCCACTCAGACACATTATACTTACCCCGAGCCGACCAGCCCTTGTTGTACCCATTAATGACGAGCGCCAGGCAGGGACCAACAAGTACCATATTTTAACGTCTTTTGGTATGACGCGGCCGGGTATCGAACCCATGACCTTCCGCTCTCCGGACGGACGCTCTAACCACTACACCACGGAGGCGGTCGCCTTATATCCGTCATTAAGGAAGACACATTGTTGCTTCACCTCTCACAGAATATATGCTAATGCACATTTTATGGGGATATTGCTAGTTGCCAGATATAAGTATACATACGCTTGAAATATATCGATAATCAAACTTGCGTATAAAACATTAGACTAGCATAATAGCCACAGTATGTATTTTTCTTCTGAGTGTTTTGTTAAGAATCCAACAACCACTGATTCATGTAGAACTACTTTACTTCTGAAGTGTTTTGTTAAGAATCCAACAACCACTGATTCATGTAGAACTAATTTACTTCTGAAGTGTTTTGTTAAGAATCCAACAACCACTGATTCATGTAGAACTACTTTACTTCTTAAGACTAATCCAAAATACAATATATGTTACACTTATTCAGAGACTTCAGAAAAGATATGCCCGCAGATATTGACAAACTACAGCGGATGATATGTTTGATAGCAATTTACACACCTATTGATAATTGTTTACTATTGAAGATCTACATCTAAAATTCAACCTGATCCAAAAATAATTTAAGTAAATACTTATAAATCATGTACTTTGAAACGTTCTCTTTTGAAATGTTGACAACCATATATTTTGGTACACGAATCAGAAAGGGCATAAAATCCCTGAGCATCTGCGTAAAACCAATGACATTAAAGTCTAATTAAAAACCGAGGACTGGCTTTATAAAAACGGATAAATTAACTGGAAATACTATTGTCTTTTCAACTGTTTACTCAAAATTTCTGACCAAGGCTCCCAGTGTAACGGATCCCCACTAGCTCGAGGATACAAGTTGTTTCTTGCACAACTTATCTGATGTCTTATTACTGGCTTATGTCTTGCACAAACACATTGACCGATACCATTCAAGTTGTTATTGCACGATGTTGTAATCTCATATTCTAAATGGAAGCAACAATGGATAACTTTACAATGCAGAAAAAAGACGAAAAGGAAAACTTGAGGCCATGTTAGTTTGGATCAATCTAGTTTTGACTTTAATGGATGGTGTTTCCCTGGAACAAGCAGACACGCCTCGTCATGGAGCTCAATGTGTCTTGATGTATCACAGAATGACAGGCACATCATGTAAAGCTTATACATGGTTCGACAATAAAATCACTTGCTTCACAGATTATGTGTCGGTTTTATCTGAGGAATTTCTTCAGTTGTCCGAGTTTTCATTTTAGT